TGCCTCCAGGGTGCCCTGAGCTTCGATGGTTCCGATGGTTTTGCGACGGAAGGCGTGACGTGTCCACACCAAAATCAGTGGAGGCCCTGGGGTCTCAGGGTTAGGTTCTCTTGTGGAGGGTTTCTTGTGGCCGAGCCCCTGCTGTATCTCGGCGGTGTGCCGCCGCTGCTGGGTCCATGTCCTCCCCCGCCCCCTTGACGCCCCTCGCCCAGCACGAGGGGCAGATTCTCGCGACTCGAGACGCTGACATGCGGACCACTCTGGGCTCGGGAGGGGCGGGCCGCTCCCTGGATCTGTGTCGGGGAGCCTGTGCGTGGCCGAGGCCAGAAGTTACCAGAAAAGCCACTTCTTTTCTTTTGCGGCCTTCCTCGTGGTGGCTGGCACGGAGACTGTACCACCCATGTCTACGAGCTCTTGTAGTCCAGAGGTGCGATCTTATTTTTTGCCGCTGTCGCGACGCCCTCAGCAGCGACCCAGCTCGAGAAAAAAACAGTTGTTCGTTCAAGACCAGTTCGGGATCTACACGAGTGCTGGGCTAGCCAACTCTTTCCCATTACGACAGGGTCTGAAGTCGGTCGAGGTGGGGTTAGCAATAGGCTCAGGCAACTTGCCAAGTTTCATCATTCCCTCACTGATGCCCCCCAGCCTCGAACAAACGCGGGAGGGTGTCGCCTGCCTCTTCCTCCTCACCATCATCGCCACCACCATCGTCATCAACATGATCATCAGCACCACCATCATCATTACCATCATCATCACCACCATGATCATCATCGTCATCACCATTCTTCACTATGAACCACCATCATCATCAGCAGCATAAGCATCATCGTACTCATCATCATCATCATCATCATCATCATCATCATCATCATCATCATCATCATCATCATCATCACCATCACCATCAGCATCATCATCAGCATCATCTTCGTAATCATCATCATCATCATCATCATCATCATCATCAGCATCAGCATCAGCATCAGCGGCAGCAGCATCGTCATCATCATCAGCAGCAGTATCAGCAGCAACACCATCATCATCACCATCACCATCATCATCATCATCATCGTCATCATCATCGTTATCAGAATCATCGTTATCATAATCATCATCATCATCATCATCATCATCATCCTCATCATCATCATCATCATCATCACCATCATCATCACCATCATCAGCAGCATCAGCATCAGCATCAGCATCATCTTCGTAATCATCATCATCATCATCATCATCATCAGCATCAGCATCAGTATCATCACCAGTATCATAATCATCATCAGCATCATCATCATCATCATCATCATCATCATCATCATCATCACCATCACCATCAGCATCATCATCAGCATCATCTTCGTAATCAGCATCATCATCATCATCATCATCAGCATCAGCATCAGTATCATCACCAGTATCATAATCATCATCAGCATCATCATAAACGGCAGCGCCATCGTCAGCATCATCATCATCATCAGCAGCATCCTCATCAGCATCATCATCGTCATCATCATCATCATCATCAGCAGCAATATCATCATCTCTTTCCGTCTTTCGTTCCTCTTGCCACGCGGCATCAATGGCTTTCTGATCCCCCATCATGCTTCCCCTCCTCCTACTCGTCCTCCTCTTCCAGTTCCCAGTTCCCCCCCTCCTCCTGATCCCCCTTCCTCCTGCCGCTCCTGCTGCTCCTGCGCCCCCTCCTCCCCTCGCCCTCCCCCTCCTCGCCCACAGGCCCTCGGAGACCTCAGCAGGCTCCCGAAGGGCCCAAAGAGAGCCAAGAGGCAGAACAAAAGCCCTTCTCCCCCCCTCACCTCTCCTCGCCGCCCTCTCCTCTCCCTCCTCACCATGGGGTCCTTTTTGGAATCCCAGGTCCGCCATGACACGCGTCGGCGGACAGAGAAGTCATCGGCGCAATGGGAAGGGATGGGTGTGAGGTGTCGGATGTCAGATGTGGCGCGAGCGCACCGAGTTTGTCCTCCTTCGTCTCTCCCGTCCTGCCCCTCCGCCGGTCGCAGCGGTCGCGGGGATGGCGCCCCCGCCAGCTCTCAGGAGAGGGCCCTGAGCGGATGGCCAGAGAATCCGCCACATCTAATGCGGCCTTTGTCCTCCCGTCCGTCCCTTCCTTCCCCCTCTTTCCTCCCCACCCCCTCCTCCGGCTTTTTTTTATCCTCCCTCCTCCTTTTTCTCTTCCATTCCGTTTCCTTGAGGGTAACTCCTCCCTCTCGCACCACAGGACGTGCCCGTAGGCCGGGCAGGGTGTCTCGCCTGAGACTTCGTTGCCAATCATTATCCTGAAGCTTGAAGTATGCAGCTACTGTCGGGATGAAGCCCGGGTGGTCTTCAAACTGTGGCTCTCGCTGCAGCGCTGCGCACATTCTTTGCAGCAGCTTGCAACAGCTTCAAGGCTGGAGCCAGGGTGGTTTTCAAAATGTGGTTCTCGCCTTAGCGCCGCGCAAATTCGTTGTGAGAGCTCGCAACAGCTTCAAGGCTGGAGACCAGTTCCTTCTCAACATGTTGCTCTCGCCGTAGCGCCGCGCACATCCATACGTCCCTACCTTCACCATCTTATGCAACACAAATTATCCGATGCACATCCACACGACCCAACCCTCACGATCCGATGCAACAGATGCACGTCTGCTCACATCCATACGACCCAACCCTCACCATCCCATGTAGCAAGCTATTATTCGGCGCACATCCAGACGACCCAACCGTTACCATTCTACGCAACATCAACATTCGGTGCGCATCCATCCGACACAGCACTCACCATCCGATGTATCATGTAGTATACGATGCTTACCTTTACGACCCAACTTTCACTATCCAGTGCACTATTTTTATGTGGTTTATATTTGCTCGACCTGTTGTTTGATTATCTCATGCAGTAAGTCCAAGGCGGTGTGCATTCATCTGACCCAACCCTCACCATCCTACGTAAATAATGTTTTCGGTACGCATCTGCGGATCTTCAGCCTTAAACATCGGCCCAACCCCGGGCCTCGAAGAGCCCTTGGGCACAAAAGGCAACAACAAATGCGAATGCTATAGAATATGCTTAATACACCGATACGATTCGGGCACCCCTCGCCGACTC